CCCTGAGTTGTCTCTCCTCACCTGTATCCCTGGGGCTGACTGCTCTTCTGTCCAGGTTCCTGGCTTTTAATCCCCTTTCTCCTGCTCTTCTGGCCTGCTGCTTTGGGTGTCCCTGAGTTGTCTCTCCTCACCTGTAACCCTGGGGCTGATGTATAATGTGTTATTCCAAGTCAGTGAGAAAAATACAGTCAAAGAATGGGAATAGGCTTGTTCTAGTGCCTAAGGCACGTGACTGCTAACCAGAAGGGTGGCGGTTCAAACCCACCAGCCACTCTTCAGAAGGAAAGTTGGGCAATCTACTTTCATAGTGATACTGCCTCAGAAATCCAAGGAGAGGTCGCTATGAGTTGGATTCTACTCTGAGGTAATGGGTTTGGTTTGGTTTGGTTTTTCAAAGAAAAAGGTAAAAAAGAAAAAAACAACACTTTAACCTCATTTATAATTAAGAAATGCAAACTGAAACTTTTTTCACTTGTCAAATTGGAAAAAATTAAAAGATTTGATAATATTTGGTACTGACAAGAGTATGGGGACCCAGGTACTTTCCACTGTGCAGAAGAGTTTAAAATGCTGTAACTTTCTCAGAAGCAATCACCTAGTATACATCTAGGCATGTGATTTTCAGATATATACAAAAGCACAAACTTTGTTTACTAAAATGTTTACTATAGTATTGTTTGTAATAACAAAAAAAAAATAGGAACAATCATTCACAGTTGGTTAAGTAAGTTATGTTTTTTTAAAGCTATTTTAAAAGACTCATTTTAGCATAAACTAACAACAACTGGAGACAGAAATAAGTGACTCACCAATTGTATAAACAACTTCCACATCATCCATTTGGGAGTCAGTAATGCTGTTTTTGGCTTCACCTTTCACTTCCCCAAGGAGAAAACCTTCCTGTGAGGATGAAAATAAGCAGCACTATATGGACTACCTGATAGAATTATCTGTCATGTAACTAACCAGAATTTCTTTACAATGTAATTCAAATGTGTTAGCAGCTGGAGGGCACACAAAAGACCAGAGGCACTTCAAGTTTAGTTGGGAAAAAAGAATAGTTAAATAAAAATGTGTAGAAAACTTTATAAATATCAAGGCAATTTTAGGAAGGGAGAAGAAATTTAACATGGCCTGAAATAACTAGAGAAAGCCCTCCAAGGCAAGAATGGAGTTGGTTTAAAAGGAATGAGTTGTATTTGTGTAGGCAGAGAGTGTAAAGTGTAAAGCACTTAGCCAACACATGGAACCATGAGCAAAGGCTTTAAAGTCAGGAATGAGAACACAATATTTGATCAAGGATGAGTAAAGCTGTTTGCCTTGGAAAATCAAGGATCAATAGGATACAGCCATTAATGGAACACTGCAAATGTCAAGCCAAGGCGGCCAGGTTTAATGACACATCTTCTGGGAGCTACCAGAGGCTTCAGAGATATAAAATGACACAATTACCAGTGTCTTTATTGTAGAACAATAAATTTGTAGACAAAATATGAAAGATTAAAGATTTGGAATTCAGTATCACAGTGTGCTATCTAAAAAAACTGTGAGCCCCAATTTAAAAAACATACAGGCACTTGCCACAAAAGTGGTAATTTCTTTGCATTTCAAATAATTCAATTCTGTGTTTTGTTACATTTAAAGACCTAATGTGGTCTTTATACACCATGAACTGGAGAAGAATGAACAAATCTGCCTTGGAAGAAGTACAGCCAGAATGCTTGTTAGAAGCAAGGATGGCAAGACTTCATCTCACATACTTTGGAATGTTATCAGGAGGCACCAGTCCCTGGAGAAGGAAATCATACTTGGTAAAATAGGTCAGTTGAAAAGAGGAAGAGCCTCAACGAGATGGACTGACACAATGGCTGTAATAATGGGCTCAAACACAACAATGACTGTAAGGATGACACAAGACCAGGCTGTGTTTTGTTCTGCTGGGCATAGACTGGGTAACTGTGAGTAAAAATCGACTTGATGGCACCTAACAACATTGTGCATTATAGACGTTGAAGATTTTTCTTCTTTATAACTAGTTAGTACCCTCCATTTCATGATGAGGCGAGAGTACAAAGTGGGGGGAAAAATCAGAATTCTACATTCTAGTGTTAATTTTTATATTCTTAAGGGCAAACCTCAGGAAATGAAGCCAGGACAATTCAAGCGCAGTTATCCAGGAAACCACCCTCTAAAGACTTTTAGAAAAAGATATGAAAAAACAGAGGCCTTTCTAACACCAAAGTTACTTCTCAAGGGTTCATCCTTTAAACTACAGAGGATTTAAGAATCCATCCTATTTATATCCGCACTAAGGGCATTCCAAAATCATTTCCACAGCTATACCAGTTAATTCAATGCCGTCAAGTCGATTATTACTCATAGGGATCCTAAAGGACAGGGTAGAACTGTCCCAGAGGGTTTCCTATGCTGTAATCTTTACAGAGGCAGATTGCCACATCTTTGTCCCACTAATCAGCTGGAGTGTTCCAACCGCCCACCTTTTGGTTGGCACCAATCTCTTTCTTAACCACTGTGGCACCAGAGCTTCTTCCACAGCACACATATGAAAAATTATATTTGGTTTTTTGATAGATGTTAACCTGCAATATTATTTAAAATTGCATAATACATATTAATTCTGACCTCTATTTGAACAGTGCTCAAAAAACCTATTTGACAAGACAGATCTTCTATTATAAAATGGGTATAAAATTTAGCATAAATTACTAAAGTTTATTCAGTATGCTATTCTCTAAACAGTATTAGTACAGTAAGATGTATTTTAGATGTTTACTATTTTTTTTCAGCAAGTTACTAAGCACTACTACTGCTTCTGAAGCTTAAAGTATTACATTTTTAAGAATTTCATAAAAAGAAAATAAGCACTGTAGTTGAAAAATTATTTCATTAAACCTCATCCACTGATTTTTACACTAGGAAAAAATACAAAATAAGTATTTAAATATTTAATATTTTAGGATAAATGTTTATTTGTAATGGAAAGTACTGGAAAAGGAAGTGAGCTTTTACAATTTTAATAACTTTTATACCAATACTAACACCTGAGAGTCTGATATCCAGTACACTAAACTAAGCTTTTTCATTCACTTGTTCACTAATATTTCCGGAAAAGAGTCATCAATTATTCCCCTGCTATCCTAACGTTAAAAAAAAAAAAAAAATTACAGCTGTCTTTGCAAAAGACAACCATCGGATGTGGGAGAAACGGAAAGTTACCAGGCAACTTTCCTAGTGGTGGCTAGGTGGTCGTTAACTTTTTTCTTTTCACGCCCAAGTTTGACCCGAAAAAAGGGACACTGATAAAAGGTTGATGCATACTGGCGTGTGGACATTCGGGTCGGGAAACACAAACAGGGTAAAGGAAAGGGAGCTAACACTGGAAAAGACTTTAGGAGCAGGAGATATCTCAAGGACCCCGAAGGTGAGAGGTAAGGCATACACAGGACAGAGAGCCTTGTTGGGAAAGAATGCGAACCGGCGGGACCGGGCGACGATGGCCGGGAGGCTCAGACCGCGGCCGGCGGGAAGGAGGCCGTGCGCGAGGCCTCTTCAGAGGCGACGCCGGATCCCGCCTCGCACCGTCGTCTCACCGTGTCCGAGTCTGTGTTGAGGTGCTGGAAGGCCAGCGCTCCGAGCACAAAGCCTGAGAGTACCGCCGACGTGCTCTCACCCTCCATTCTCTTGACTTCGCCCGGCTGCTCGCAGGTACCAAGGCGGCAGCAAAGGCGGAGCAAACCCGACCGACTCTTCAAACGGCTAAGGCAAGGCGGGAAGGGGGCGGAGCGAGAGGGCGAGGCGAGCGCCTGCGCACAGGCTGCGACATACTCAGTGGAAGGGGCGGAAGGGATGAACTGCATTCTTTCTCCCTAAGGGTGGGAGCGGCTAGGCGGCTGTGGGCAAGTGCGGCTGTCGCATGTTCTTGCCGTGCTACTGGCTGAGGTTTTCCTCCTTCGCTCCTGACTGCAGCGCCTTGACGGCCGCTCGAAGTTGGGCCCCTTTGCAGAGCGCCATGGAGAGCATTTTGGTGGCTAGCTGCTGTTGACGGGCCCATGGCGTATATGCAAAATTATCAGTGAACAGTCATTTTAAGACAAATAATGGTTAAAAGAATAAAAGTATTGCGGAGTGGCATTGGATATGAAACTTTTATAGTTTTAAAACTTCCTTATATTTCCCTTTACCTATCTAAACTTCTAGAATAATTACCATTTCAGGGATTGTCTCTTCTAGAACTCTGCAGAAATGTCCCTTCCCCTTATGTGTGTGTTTGGTTTAGTTTTTGTTTGCTTTTAGAAAGTTAAAAACTCAAGGTAATTTAAAGGATACATACGTTTTTAACGCACTTCTGACAGTTTAATGATACGCGTAATCATATTGTAATGCATCATTTGGTATAAATATCCACTTACAAAATATGGAAATGACTGCAAGTCAGTGAAATATCAGAAACTACTGAATTGAATTAGTAATGCATATTTCTGAGTTTTATTGTGAGACCAACCATTGTTGGCTAACACAATGAAGACATACAATTAGTAATTATGTATTTATTCACAAAAATTAAGTTTTTTGCCTTAATTTCAGCAAACACTTATTGAAAAGATTTTCATGTAATTGTTTTATTAATAATGATATAAAGGATTAAGACCTAAAATGTAACTATTCCAAGTGTACAAAATTTAAATGTATTTTATAATTTAAAAAATTAGAGTGGATGTGAACTATCAAAATATTAAAATTATCTTGTTGTTGTTGTTATGTACTGTGAAGTCGAACCCGACTCATAGCTACCCCTCCTTGGGTTTCCGAGGCAATATCACTATGGAAGTAGATTGCCCCATCTTCCTTCTGAGAAGTGGCTGGTGGGTTTGAACCACCAGTCTTCTGATTAGCAGTCACGTGCCTTAGGCACTACTACCAGAGCCCCATTATTCAAATAGAACTGACTATTTATTTTTTGAAAATGTATCTAATCAAAAACTTTCTGGCTAAGGCACTTGACTGCGAACCAGAAGGCTGGCGGTTCAAACCCACCAGCCACTCCTTGGGAGGAAGATGGAGCAATCTACTTCCATAGTGATTTTGCCTCGGAAACTCAAGGAGGGCTTGCTATGAGTTAGGTCCGACTGGACGGCACATAACAACAACAACAACAACAACAACAACAAAGAATAATGCTAATAGCTATCCCAGGGTTAAACAACCATCTAGTTGCCAGTACAAATAATCAATATGAAGCTTCATGAATGTCACATCCAGAGCTACATACACACAAAATAAGGGTAATAAGAACTCTTTAATATTGCACTATGTGCAACTCTTCTACCGCCCTTGTTAGTACCTCTCAACCACAAATTGGAACACTACAGAAGCAAGAAAATGGACATTTGCATTCTTAGAAAATAATATTTTCCACACAAGTATCAATTGCATTCTTGCTATCTGTAAGGAACTATATGGCAAGTTAATTATTTTGCTTTTTCTCTCATCTGAATTCTTCTGCATGGAGCCCTGGTGGCAAAGTAGTTGCTAATCAAAGGGCTGAGGGCTCTAACCCACCAGCTACTCCATGGGAGAAAGATAAGGCAATCTGCTTCCATAAAGATTTACAGACTTTGAAACTCTATGGGGCAGTTTTACCTTGTCTTAAAGGTCACTATGAGTCTGAATCGACTTGTTGCCTAGGTTTGGATGAGTGTTAATCATAAGAGTAGATGTTCAGGGCTCAAACTGTGGTGTACCTGCTCTGGATTCTCGATTCTGAGTGTCACAAGTGAATATGAAACCTTTAATAAATTTACTTTGTGTGTGCTTGTATTTGGAAAATACAGGTCTCTCTAAAGAGCAGAGAGGCCCCTTTTGATTGACAGTAAAGGTGGTTCTATATTCCTACTTCAGAGCAAATAGCATTAGTAAGGAACTCCATTTTCTTTTCCATGAGTTAGAGATGCTGAGTCTGCTCTGTGATCTTAAGACATCATAAACCTCTGCTATTCCTTACTCTACCTAACTTTTGTTAAGCAGTGGTCAGTTTATAAAACTATCAAATACTCTTTTGGGGGCAGATGCATTTTTTTTTCATTTTTTAATTATTGAAATACACATAATTAATATAAGAAGAAGTAGCTCTGGTGGCATAGTGCCTAAGGCATTTGACTGCTGTCCAGAAGGCTGGTGGTTCAAACCCACCAGCCACTCCTCGGAAGGAAGATTGGTCGATCTACTTCCATAGTGATACCGCCTCGGAAACCCAAGGAGGGGTCGCTGTGAGTCGGATCCGACTTGACAGCAGTGAGTTTGGTTTAATATAAGAAGAGATCAAATAATGCAGAAGTGTGATCTCTTTGTGGCTTGCATTCCTCATCTATAAAATGAAGATGAGCGTAGTACATATCTTATAGGGTTATTGTGATGATTAAATGACATAGAATTTTTTAAAAAATTTTTATTGTAATTTGGGTGAAAGTTTACAGAGCACATTCACTTTCCACACAGCAGTTCACATAAACTTTGTCTCATGACATTGACTGTAATCTCCCACAATATAACAGCTCCCCTCCCACTTCCACCTCATAGTTACCTCTTCCCTGTGTCCTTCCCTCCCATGCACTCTTGCCCCCTGAGCTGTCTCCCTGTGCATACACTGCCCTTCTATTGTCCCATGATTGATTTCTCCAAGGAGTGTATGTACCTAATGTAAATGTTCATTTCATATGCCTGTCTATTGTTTGGCTAGAAGCCGCAGGAGCGGGTTCAATTCCAGACCTGAAGGGCATCTAGGGGCCATAGTCTCAAGGGTTCCACCAGGCTCTACAGGAGCAGAAAACCAGGTCCTTTTTTTTTAAACGATTTTGAGTTTTGTTCCACATTTTTCCCCTACTCTATCCAGTATCTCCTACATAGATACCCCTCTGAGTGGTTGACAGTGGTAGCCAAGCACCATCTAGTGCTTCTGGTCTCATAGTCATATAGGCTAAGGATCGCATGGTGTACCAGTTACTTGGACTGATTGTTTCCATGTGTCTTTGGTTTTCTTCATTCTTCTTTGCTCTGGATGAGAGACCCATTGTTACATCTAGATGGCTGCTTGCAAGATTTTAAGATCCCAGTTGCTACTTGCCAATGTAGGATGTGGAACCATGTGTTTGTGTAATATATTATGCCAATTGAGCTTGATGTCCCCTGCAACCATGGTCCTGAGCTCTCAGGTCCAACTATTTGCTTCTTCTAGGAAGCTGGCTGTGGCCAAGAAATGACTACAACCTTATGCCTTATCAGCTCTTCTATATAGCTGGACCTTCTTACAGAACATACAAATACACTTGTAGAAATATTGTCTGCCAACCCTATACATGGTCATGGGCACACTCCCCCCTACATAGACATACCTGATCATTCAGCCTGTTCACTCATCTATACACCCTTAGATCAATGTTTGGCATCACTGACAATGCAGTATTGTATGTGCAAAAGGGTTCATCTTTGTTGTCTGTACCTCCCCTGCACCTCAATACCACTGTGTTGATCACTCACATTTGGTACATTGCCCTTCCCTTCATCCAAATTAATACTTGTCTCTACCTATCTAGCAGTGTTCCTTCCTCTTCTCTCCCATCCCTGGTAACCAACAAAGAAAGCTTCCTTCCATATAGAAACCTTTCCTTGACTTTTTATAATAATGGACTAATACAATATTTGTCCTTCTGTGATTGACTTATTTCACTCAGCATAATGTTTTCCAAGTTCATCCACGTTATATGGTTGTTTTTCAGATTTTACATTATTCTTTAGGGTTGCAAGTGTTCCATTGTGTGTATGTACCATAGTTTGGTTATCTGTTCTTCTGTTGATAGGCACCTAGGTTGTTTCTATCTTTTTGCTCTTATAAATAGTGCTGTGATAAACATGGGTATGTATATATCTATTCTTGTCCTGGCTGTCACTTCTTTAGGATATATACCTAGTAATGGAATTGCTAGGTCAGATGGTATTTCTAATTGGAACTTTTTAAGGAATTGCCATACTGTTTTCCACAATAGTTGTATCATTTTACAGTCCCAGCAGCAGGGTATAAATGACAGAATTTTTAAGCTATATAGCATATTGCATGAAAATTACTAGTAATCATTAAATAATACCCCAAAAAAACCAACTCACTGCCGTTGAGTTGGATC